ATACATTAGGATTATGACACAGTAAGTGTTTTTATACCGTGAGTGTTTTAAGCTTTTAATACTAATTTATCCATCATTATCTTGGTCCATCTCTCACATCAATAATGGTTAAATGTAGGTACTTAAGTTCGCATTTGCCTCACTTGAAAAGTGTCTGTTTTACAAGAGCCTTGAAGACATATCTGTCCTTACTATATCAATATTTTTGTATGTCTGTGGGCAATATGCTGTTTCTTTCATTAACTTTTAGGCTTTTATTGAATCAAGACTAAGTTTATATAAACATTAAATGAATTGATTAGCAAGTTAAAGTGCGCRCGCTGATCATTYGAAATTCACTTTTGGMCGTGGGATCTTGTGATGTGCTATTATCAGATCAAAATTACGTGATGTTGTTACAAAAGATCGTTGTGGTTATCATCTAAATCAACCGGCATTTGTTTTCTTTCTAAGCCTGACGTACTAATGCACTTATCTTACACTTTGTAAACTCACAACCGCAGAGTTTGTTTTGAACTAAATGGCGAAGAAATGGAGCAAAATTCTTCGAGTAAATCGATCAAAACCCCAGTAATAACAGGAAAAGAGCACKTATTTGGTGGAGAAAGGTCGAAAAACATGACCTTYAAAAGCAAAGCAAGGCAAGTATGGATGGCAAACTTAATCGCTAAGCAAAGACCAACAGAAATCACATCGAAGACACATCCAGGAAATAATGAAAAAAGAAACAATATACCACTTAGCACTAACGAGGTTACTCGCCCGCCAACTGTGAAACGAAAAGGAACGCCCGAGATATTCCCAATGTCATCAGAAATGAAGAAAACGTTACTATTGCTCGGGAATTTAGACCTTCTACCACTAGAAGAACGACCTCAACAWACAGCAATCAGCGAWGGACAGACAAAGAACTCGCTGAATAAATTTCGACTTAAAACCAAACAGAAAATCATTCAACCTCAGAGGTTTCTTCGTGGTATGAGAGCTGATTCAGTTAGAAAGCAATCTGTAAAAGAAGAAATATTCACTGATGACAGGATTGGAACAACTGATGATTTAATCAATTCAAAARCAGGTTCTCTTGATGAGAGCAAACAAGAAAACACATYACTTGGAAATAGCAGAAAASAMAATGAAGGCACGCAAGAAACATATCGAGAAAGAAGAGTTAAAACTGCGCACGTTTTTACTTCTCCTAATTTCCATTCGACAAAAAGAGACGCATGGAGCAAATCGTTTCATAAATATCAAGCTGTCTACGCCATAGCAAACTCTCCAATCAAAGCAAACAGACGTTCCGATTTAAAGAGAACACGAAAAAATCATTTATCCAGCAAGACATGGCAACCGGATACAGATTTTCAAAGGTTTCCTATTCAACCAATACGGCGTGCAATTAGTATGGGAATTGAACATACAGCGAGTAKGGAATATGACAGCAGTGACAATGCAGATGTTATGAGAGATGGTAAAACCATTGATGAAATAACTAATGATATCCAGCTAAGATGTTCTAAATGGTTTGAGTTTCGACAAAAGATATTAAAACAAAGATACATGAAGCAGAAAAGAGAAAGCTGCGAATAGAATCAAAAACACGGTGTTAATTACAAGARCTGTATCTCAGATACCTTCCTACGTTACAAAAATTGAATATTTTCATTAGTTAAAACTGGTTTATTATAGTAGATTTATGGCAGAATCAATATAATCACTAAACTCCAAAATGCAAGAAGGCTTAATGAGGATAATCCATTAAGATTCGGTTGATCTCAATTCAAGATTCGTACTTTTTCATTATGCAACACTTATCTCTCCTAATTTCCATTTTGTGTTTAGCCTTGCGACTATCTATTTTCCATGCATTATATCGATTTTATCTATCTTTCGGCGCGCATTACAGCAGATACAATCATATATTAGGGAGGGATGGGCGGCATGTCTATGATATCAGAAGAAGTGCGCGTCAATAGGACTTTTGCGCGATGACGTCATTCATTTTATTACAGATACCACGTGTTCTTAATCAGATAGAATACAAACACTAAAACTGTGCAACATAAATACCACTAAATACTGCTAAATTATGCTAATTCTATTGTTTTCTATTGTTTAATTAACACTATTTTGTAGTAA